CATCCACAATCATTCTCAGGGTGAACCACAAGCCAGCTCTAGTACTGATGAAGTGTTCACGAACCCAGTAGAAGTTAAGCAATCTCAGGGAGAGCCTTCAATTGAGATTCAGAAGGTTCATCACAAATCTGTTACAAGTACTGCACCTTCAGGGACCCCTCACGCAGTCAGTCATGATACCAAACCCAAGTCTTCATTGTCCAGGTTCCTTAGGAGTGCAGTAGGTGGATTTCGCGAGCGGAAAGATCGACCTAAGACAGGATCACAGTCATTTCGGCTTCCAAGTGAAGGTCATGCGAGGTCGACCTTCCCAAGAATCTTCCGCAGGAAAGAAAAGGTTCAAACTTCACCACAAACTGAACATAATTCTCAACCCAGTGCAAGTAATCCCCTCAGTGAACATGGAAAGAGTGATGAAAATGTGAGAGTAGAAGTTCATGCATTTACAAAGCTGGAAGAGGAAGAACTTAGCTCAGCTAGGACTGGATCCTTGACAGGAGTTCCAAAATCTGGAAAATTCCTGGATGCCCGAGCATCTGATGTCCCCTCATCTCCCGAAATGTTGCCTAGCGAAAATGAAGCAGCAGCCGCTTCGAGCGAAACTGAAAGTCCGTCGTCACCGGTGACAGAAGTCCTTGCTGCCCCAAAACCTAGCGGAGATGTACCGTTGCCTCGTACCCCTGACGAAAGGAGCAAGCCAATGGACGTAGAAGCAACTGGTCTGGTTGGTCAAGATTCTTTAGAAGACGAAGAATTGCCTCGGGTCCCGACCACACTTCCTGAAGAACCATCTTGTGTGCTTCCCATCATTCCCATCCGTGAACGGATTGCTAAGCTTGACCTGAAGCCTGTCCAAAGGCCCAGAGGAACAACGCGGTATGACACGTCTGCCATTCGCCAATTCGTCAAACAGCACACCAATACCCAGGACAGTGGGGACACGGAGTCCATTAAAGTGATTCTACCTCAAGGAAGCCTATCAGGGAAATCCAAGCTTCTGAAACGGGTCGCTGCTGTGGACATGGAGTTCTCCCAACCTCCGGACATATCTTGGGAGGCGTTTTTTGAAGAACGGGTAAAAGCTGCGGAAGAGGGGAATACATCTGTATCAGTTCTGAGTACGGAGACTAATACCACAAATTCGACAACGGAGGTGAAACCTATTTCCTGGGTGAATCTGGATGAACTTCCTGAACCCCCCAAGTTACCAAAAAAATTGAAGAGTGTGTCAAAAAGTGGAAGTGAAGGGAGCAGTGCTGCCGGATCCGCGAGGTCCCCTCGGGACAGTGAAGTCTTTGAAGACGCTGCCGTGGCCATTTTTTCCAATGCCTATGAGAAGGACACGGATCGGATTCTTTCGACGAGTTCTTCTTCTTCATCTTCCCCTGCCGAACCCATATCCTGTGATCACGCCGGTGCTGCTTCATATCATGATCGTCCTCCTCAGTGAGTTTTCCCTGGCTTATTTTACTTTTTTTCGTGCATTTTTCCCCGTAGAGATTGAAAAATGGTGTCCGAATATCCGATGAAAACTTATTGGTCTTCGATTCAAATGCGTAGCCCGTGCAGGACTCGGGTGATTGTTCTTGGTCTCTAAATGTATTCCACTCGGTCTGGGTGCAGTTCATCTGCATTCAATGTCAGATCTTCTGCTGTGCTGTGAAGTACACGTCTGGGCCGATAATCGCGAACGAAGAGGAAACATCTCTAACACAGTGCTTGAGCACGCTTCTTCATCATAAGGTATTTATGACCAAGCACGACTTTCCTGTCTGTAAATGAAGATTTCGGCACGTTTTATGGCTTTTAGCTTTTTCCAGCTGAGCTGGTTATGAATTCCTAAGCGGCCGTCAATATAGGTATGATCATCATCGCAGCTGTATGGTGGCCGTGTTTAAATTCATCAAGAACTTGTTTGCTTAATATGCTGCAGGGCCTTCATCATTGTATTTTATTATCAGCTAAATGTATCATACATTCAAATGCGTGAGACATCCAGAACCCTTTTGGATGGACTCAGCATGAGGAAAGCTTCACTCAAATGTCGTACCATGCTCTATTTTCGCCGTCCAACAGTGAGAGAGTAGATATTCATTAAGTAGATTTTCCTCTCAGGCAAATTGGAGACTGCTGTCTCACTGTCCTTGGTAGGATGGATGGATGGTTTTGGATAGATAAACCTGGTTTAAACGAAGATTCCAGGGAAAGGAAGATTCCATCCTTCGGGTCTCTCAGCTTGTAAGAGAAGTCAGAATAAATTTAAAACCCTTGCTAGGAGTTTTTGCGATTTGGAGCTGCACGCATTAGCTGTTCTACGAATGAGAAAGGATTGCCCAGCACTTTATCTTGTTACTTAAATGTGATCATGTGACACACAATATGGCAGAAGGACGATGAACGTCCTGTGGTTGCGTGACACTTATTCCTGCAAACTGAAGGCCTCAGAACTTAGTGAAAAAGGAAGATTTTTCACTGTCCCAGAATCGACGATATTCACTGACAGACATTGATTGCCAATTCATTAGAGGATGAAGTCTTGGCGCCCACCCATTCATGATATGGCAGAGGGCGGTATAAATACTGGGGAGACATGGGAGGGTGAGATCGATGCCGTTTCTTTCTCTCCTGTGACGTCATAAAGCCCGGCATCGATCCTGGGAATTCCGTCGGGCTTGGTCGTCCCGCTCTCTCGTCTCGCCCATTTCCCAGTTCCTGCCGTACCTCGTCGTCGTCGTCTTCGTCTTCATTGAAAGTCTAGGCAGCGGATGATAGTTTTCTTCTCTTTGTGAAGGGATGCGATGGGCACTGCATGATGTAAGTCAGATCCCTCCTTTTATCAATTTCTCCTCCTTTCAGTTTAGAACCTTGGTGTCGTTTTTCCTATGGGAGGGTTTTTCCATAGCATCATGACCACTTCGTCTCCTGTTCCTGACTCTGTTGCTTTAGGGTTGTAGGTTCTAAATGGAACGGTTTTACCTCTTTTTTTCATCTTTTGCATTCATATCTTAATTTTTTAAAATTGCATTTCGTGTTTCAGGGGCTGGAGCCCGAAAGGAGATGCACAAACTAAAGAAGGGGTTGAAAAAGAAGAAAGGGAAGCGTAAGGAGGAAGAAATATTTGACCCTGCAGAGTATGAGAAGTATAAACGTGAGAAGCTTCAGAAGCAAGCCCAAGCTAGTGTGAGTGATGAGTGTGAGAAGACTGAAGAATGGTTGCAGTTCCAAGCACTCACTGCGGGTGTTGATAGTATCTTAAACAAAACTCAAGAGGATCTCAAGCGAATCAAAGACAGCAGTTACTTCCAGAGGAAAAAAGTTGGATCTTCAGACAAAAACTGTGAACCTGTAGTTGCTGCTGGCCCCTCAATCAAGCATAAATATTGGATTACTGACTTTGAGCGAGAAGCACCATTAGGATTAGTTGACCAACCAGAACCTGAGGAACCAGAACCAGTCAAAGAAGAAAATCTCCCTGAATCTCCTGTTCTAGAAAAGTTTGAACTTCCCAGTGACCTTGAAGACGAAGTTGAGGTTGATGATTCTCTGTTTGAGACTGGATATGTTGATCTTGTAGAGAGAGGAGAAGTCAAATTTGCTACAGTTGTTGATGATGTTCTTCCAGAGGAAGATGACCCATTTGACACATCTGCTGCTGTAGCTGTTCTTGGTGATGCACCTAAGAAAGAGAATATTGCCAGAGCTGTAAGGAAGGAGAAACGAAAGATTGTGGTGAACTTGAGTGAAGCTGTTGGTGTTCTTCGAATCAGAGCAAGTGAACCAGTAAAGCAAGTTCTTGAGGACAAATTCAAGCCTACTGTCGTTGATTTTTTGTCTGGATTTGATGATGAGCCAGTTGTAGACTGGACTGATGGACAAAGAATCACTTGGTTAATTGTCGAGGATCTCATTGCTGAAGTTGTTGAAGAAGCTGAAGCTTCCCCTGTGCATGTGTTAGAAGAATTTGATGAACTTGCCAAAAAACCAATAGAAGTCTCAGACTCCCTGATACCTCCATCATCTCTGAAATTCATCCCATCAACTGGAGACACAGATCTTGATGAAGAATTTGCTGAATTAGCAAGGAGTTCATTGAAAAAGACTGTTGTTCTTGATGATGTAGATGAAGACTTTGCTGCATTAGCAAGTGAATCCCTGAAGAAGCCCCTTCCATTGCCTGTCACTCCTGTGGATGATATTTATGACCCATTTGACACATCTTCTTACGAGGTACACATCGTGGGAGATGAAAATCGCCCATTCATTGAGGAAGTTGCATATGATCCCTTTGATACATCTAGTGTTGTACCAATCTTAGGTGCTTGCACTGACTGGAGAACCCTTGAAACTGAAAAGCCAAAGAAAGTGAGTGTTGCAGATATTGCATCTCCTGGGCCTATTGAGTCTTCAGACCCTTTTGACACCAGTGTGATCTATATCGACAACAATTCCTCAGACATTGTCCCTCCCAACAAATTTGTCACATTTACAGATCCCTTTGTGACAAACCAAGTCAACACAGAGGAGAATCATTCTCCTTGCATTCCTTCTCCCATCAAGCCAGAGCCTCCAAATTCTCCTGATCCTTTTGACACAAGCAGCATCTCAATTCCCACTCAAGGCAAAGATTGTGATTTTGATCCTTTCAACACTGAGAGTGCAATAGCAAATTTTGCAACACCGTTACCAGATCACTTTGTCAGAATAGAAAACAAAAAGCAAAAGAATATTTCTGATCCTCTCACCAACAGTTCCCCAATACTGTCTGTGGCCCCAAAAAAGACTTGGATTGTTGACTTTGAAGAGGAGGTATTGGTGAAGGAAGAACCAGGTGCTTTGATCCCAGAACATCCTATCAAAGGCACGAAATCATTTGATTCTCTGCGATCAAATCTCTCCACTATATCCCTTGCTGGAAGCTCAGTGACAGATTTTGAATTTGTGGACTTTGAAGTTGATACGTCTGATCCATTTGACACATCATACGTGGATCAGCTGGTGCCCAAGCAATAGAAGTTTGTGAAGTATGGCTGCTTATGAGAATCTGAATCCATTCCTCTTTGGGGACTCTGATTCTTCAGCCATAAACAGTGGATCAGCCAGCCTGAATCCATTTCTTGACTTTGGTGAAGAAAGGAGTGATTTAAGGTGTGATGGTGGTGGCTCAGCTGAAGGTGGGAATGGAATTAATCCTTTCTTGATGGATATTGCAGTCCCTAAGGATCTTGCAGATGGAAATCTGGATGTGAATCTCATTGAGACAGATGTACACAGTTCACTGGGTAAGGATGCATTTCAACCAACCTTTGACATCCATTCTCCACCTGATGTCAGGGTTGAAGCTTCACATGAAGCCAGGCAATTGGTTCAAAGTATTACAGGGCACTTGGAGTCAACTGCAGATACCTTGCTGGACAGAATGCAGGCTGCAAAGACTCCCACTCCATCTCATGATGAAGCTGCTGAAGACAGTCCTGCTGCAAGTCCTGAACCACCTGAATTGGATCAGCAGAGCGGTGTAATGGATCTTTTGGGTGATTCAAGTGAGATGATGTTGCAATCTCAGCCCTTCACAAGCATTCCATCAGCTCATGAGCCTCATAAAATGTCTCTATTGGATGACTCTCCCATCAATCATGTCCCAGTGGCCCCACCAGAGTCTCCTGTTTCTGATGGCACTCGCAGTGCTTTTTCTTCAACAGTAGCACATGAGACTGTGGATGAGCAATCATATTCACCAACTACTCAAGAAATCAAAACTCATTACAGTATGGTGAAAGAAGCAGATTTTGGAATGTCCCATGCTGGCTTTACAGCAGATGTTCCTATGTATCAGTCTGAAGCATTGAATCCATTCCTTGCAGACCTTACACCAGAGGTAGATCTCTTGGGGCAAAGCAGTCATTCCATGCCTGAGCCAGTTCAACACTTTCAAAACATAATGGATGATTTCATGATGTCTGATGAGCCAGTTGTGGTACATGAGAAGCCACCTCGCCCTAGCGTTCCACCTCCAAGGCCTGTGCCACCTCGACCAACCCATCCACCTCGGAAAGACATTCCATCTCCATCAGCACCACCACAAAAAGACATTCCATCTCCATCAGCACCACCACGAAGAGACATTCCTTCACCTACAGTGTCATCCTGGAAAGAGATAATCTCACCTGAAAAGGTGGAGCAAGCACCAGCTACTGATTTCATTTCTTATCATCCCCCAGAACTCATTCATTCGATTCCAGTTCTAAAGGCTCTGTCATCACCTCAGTCATGTGCTACAATTAAGGGAATGATGCACAAGGATGAACCTGACTTTGATGCATTTGCTGCTCGCTTTGAGAGTGCAGCCGCTGCAGAAGGCAAGGAGTTAGAGGTGGCAACTGGAGATCCTTTTGACCCTTTTGGAGGTAATGGCTAACTTTCTTTGTTGTTTGTGATTGGTTTAAAAAAAATGAAGAGGGTGTGTTAATAATAAACCTTACTATTCTCTTCTTGCAGCACCAGGAGGGGGGAGCATGGGAAATTTTGATGACACCTCTCAGGGCTTTGGCTTTGAGAGTGAATCATTTGACCCATTTTTGGTTATACCTGAGCCTCCACCTGTCCCCAAAGGAACTCCTGCTCACACTGGGTTTGAGAATGGTTTCTCAACTGTTGCTTTCACCTGGTAAGATGCTTCTAGTGTCTATATATGAATGTGATATTTTTTTGTAAGCTTTACCCAGTAATGATGAACACCTCCTCCAACAGGGATCAGCTTCAACAGGATGCAGCCCTACAGAATCTCAACCTTGAACACAAGGATGAGTTTTCCCTGAACTTGAACCTTGCTGTAAATACTCATAGCAGTGCTGCAAACCCATTCCTTGAAATGACAGAAACAGCTATGCCTTCAACAGACTTTGCAAAACAAGAACCATATGGTGAGGAAAATGTTGCTGTTGTAGTTTTGTGTTCAGTGTAAGACCTATCTTGATTTTAGTGCATTCTTACTTATTCTGTTCAGTGCCACGTGCACCTCAGAGAACAGATTCAGGGGAAACACCATCAACACCTCTCTTTGAAGAGGATCAAACAGAGCCTCTTGAAGCTTATCCTCGAACAGTTTGGAAGGAACCTGAGCCTCCATGCTGGGAAATGTATCTCAGGCAGCCCAATAAGAAAAAGATTGCTTCTCAGCGTTTCTGGAAGAAGATTTATGTTCGCCAGGCAGAGAATGGAACTATCCAGCTCTTTAATTCCAAAGAAGACAAGGATCCCTTTCAAGAGCTTCCATTGCAGCCTTGTTATGCAGTATCTGATATTGGTTTGTTTCTATTGTCCTTTGATTTTTTTTTTCAGCTTGGGAGTCCTCTTCATAACCAAGTACTTTCTCATCTTGCTTACAGGTGCTCAGCAGTTTGACCAGTTTGGGAAGATATTCACTGTCAAACTGCAGTATGTTTTTTACAAAGAGAGGCCTGGAGTAAGGCCAGGACAGGTATGCTCTTGGCATTTGGCTTCCACAAAAATGTTCATGAGAAAGAAAGCATGAGACCACCTTCACATCATGTATTTTCTTTGTTTCAGGTCAGTAAGGCAGAGAGGCTGACATCAAGGCTGTCACAGTTTGCATCATATGCAATAGCAGGGGACTTGGCAGGAGTCAAAGAATTTGGCTCTGATCTGAAGAAACTTGGTATACCCATTGAACATGCTCCCCAGGTGAGTATTAGTTTTATTTCTATTCTCATAAGATCCTCATCTCTTTGTACTCATTCCTCTTTGTTTTGATTCTCCCATGCCAGGTGTCTGAATTACTCAAGCTTGGTTCTCGCAGTCATGAGGACCTGAAAGTGTTCTCATCTCTTCTAGAAGAACATTTATTCAAGCTGCCTCTGCATCGTGATAGGAGTCTCACTTACAAGACTGAGGAGGTCCAGATTACAGCTCTGGATGAAATCTATGTGGAACAAAATTATCTTGGTCATGTGGGCATTATGGTGGCTAGGGTTCGCCTCTTCTTCCTGGCATTTCTTTCTGGTATGGGCCTGTGTCTGGAGACCAAGCAATTTCCTTACTTATGTGAGGCTGTAATGGAAGGTCTTTTGAAACTGTTTAGGGATGCCAGAAGTGGAGTTGGGAGTTAATGACAATGTCCGACAGGGTAAAGAAGTTGTTGGCAGGCACGACATTATTCCTGTCATTACTGAAGAATGGATTCGGCTTGAAGATGTGGAGTTTCACACATGTGTTCAACAGGATCACTACCAGCATAGCAAAACCATCAAGTGAGGCTCCAGTTCATGGAAAGTTAATAAGACCCTGCTCATGCTCACTGCCTTACTACTTCATTTATGTGTAGATTTGTGCCTCCTGATGCATGCTACATCGAATTGATGAGACTTCGTATTAGACCTCCAAGAAATCGTGAGCTCCCACTTCAATTGAAGACAGTCTTCAATATCACTGGACGAAAGGTGTGTGATTTTGATGGCAGTTAGATTGCATTTGAATAATTTTTTATTTATGTCAAAGTTCCCTTCTCATATAGGTTGAGATACGTGCAGACATTCTTGTGCCTGGCTCTTGTGGAAAAATGGGCATGGTTCCATGTGAAGATATTCAAGTGCGACTTCCCTTGCCTGAGCAATGGATATATTTATTCCGTGTGGAAAAGCACTTCCGTTATGGATCTGTCAAGTCTGCTCATCGGAGGTGTGCAGTCTCTGAATTGCCATGTTTCTACATAATATATCCAACTTCAAGTATTATTCTTAAAGGTACTAATCTTAATATATGCATAATCTTTGCTCAGAATGGGGAAGGTGAAGGGATTGGAGCGATTCCTTGGTGCTGTTGATACTCTGGATCAAGCCATGATGGAAACAAGCTCTGGACAAGCCAAGTATGAGCACCAACATCGTGCAATTGTGTGGCGCATCCCTCGCCTGCCCAAAGAGGGACAAGGTATTGATTCACAAGGATGTTTGACATGAAAATGCTATTGGTCATTGATTTTGGCTTGACCTGTGGGCTTTCTCTTGCAGGTGCATATACATCTCATACGTTCGTGTGCCGCTTATGCCTCACAGCATATGACCAAATCCCAGACACTTTTGATAAGTACTGCGTGGTGGAGTTCACGATGCCTGCAACAACAGTATCCCACTTCATCGTTCGCTCTGTTTCAGTGAATTGTCCCTCGCCTCCAGAGAAGTATGTTCGCTATCTTGCCCGGCATGAGTACAAGACAGAGATTGAATTCACTCAGGGTTCAGAAGTGCATGAATACATAGCAGCTACAGCTGTTGAAACTTCTGCTGCTCCTCAGCTGCAGAACAATGGGGAAATGGAGGCCAAATCAGGCTCAGGTTCTGACTCTGACTGAGCACTCAGGTTGTCATAGAATCAAGGCAATTCTTCTCAATCATGTGGCAGCTGCACACTTTAGGTTCTCTAGGAAGTCTGCAGATAGTTACCTAAGTTCCAGGTGTTCTGTAAAAATGGGAAAGTGTGGGCATGCTGGATGTTTGCCATAGAAAATGTTCATCTTCCGTTGCAAATTGAAAGCATTGATATATGTTCAAGTTTTCTTGGGGAATTCATTGCTATGTTCTGAAGAGGAGTGTTTGTATTTTTTGTCATAAATTCATAATGTTGTGGAGTTTGTAGTCTGAGTGAAAAAGGCAATTGGGCTGCTTCTGAAGCAAGCTGAGACTCTGCAGTTCGTTAGCTAGGCTACTCAGCTAACTTAACAAGCATGTACCTGAAGTGGGTGCCATACTCACTTCACTGCAACTAGTCTTGAGCTTGTGATGCCACAGAGATCAAATTGTACATTCCAATCCGGTCAGCTTCTTATACTTCCCAGCAGTTATGTTGATTTCATGAGTACAATATATTGCATTTCCCTGCTCTTGTGTGGCTTCTTGAAACTTGCACAAACATTTCCTAATGTCATTCTTGTTCCCTGATACTGTGAACTGTAGTAATTACTAAAATTGTTCCAGCCTGTGGTATTCTTATCTAATGGGACATTGTGATATTAATTTGGAAGTCCCTGCTTGTCAAATGTGGGAACTTATTCGCCAAGCAGGCTTTTCCAAGAAGTGCTTGCTGGTAGAAAAATGCTTTTCTCTGCATATAGTTCTCTATGGTAGGTGACGTTATAATCTCCTGTGGAATTTTGTGAGTTGCCTTCACCTCCTGACCTATCATCGTGCCATATCAATGTCATTAATTGTATTATCCTCTGCTAAGCTTGCATTTATGTTCCATGACATAGGCCTACTCTGAATCTCCTGAGAAGAGACCTTAGGTGCTGTTTTTGCCCAATGTGATTATCAGTGGGAATATTTTGAGTTTGCTCATTATCAATGCTCTCAATCATTCGGCACAGCAATATATGCCAAAGATCTAGTCAAATCAGAACAAGAGTATTCCAGACACTGATGTCATTCCACATTCAATGTTTCCCCATGTTGTCCCCACTTGTTCTCTCCTGTCGTTGAAACGTTATGAAACTTGTTCATTTCCAAGTTTATAATTATTTTTCTTTTCCTACTTACCCTGGTGAATGTTCTCATGTGGATGTTGGCCTCACTGTCTGTGCAGTATATGGTAGGAATAAAGTTGCAAGTTGAAGGGAAGCAACAGGTTTTTCATCTTTGCAGTTGGCTCCAAGAGAGATGAAAGGTAATGGATTTTCCAATGGTGACCTTCTTTGCTTTCGCACGTAGGTGGGCACAAATGAATGTTTGGAGAACTTTCAGTTCGACAAGGGTGAAGATGTTGCTACGTTTCTCAAGTTAATGCTGGGCATGATCTGCCCCGATCTTGGAGAGACCCAGTGGAACCCAATGATAATCTGCTCTAGGAGGACATACACTTTCATGTTATCCTGAATTTGTTGCTTCAGTTGCTGTTCTTGGGGTCATAGGTGAGATGAGGAGGCAGTAGATAGCATCTGTGTTTACGGCTTGCAGTTGACGCATCGCCGCATTTTCTAACAATTTCTGCTTGTCCTTTATCACCAATGGAAAGCACGTTTAGATTATCAATACGACTCATACTGGTGATCATAAATATAGGTTATTGAAATAAAATGGGTAGACTGAAAGTATCGAAACTTCCTCACCTTCAAAACGCTTTCGAGCTGTTTTTCTTGGCCTGTAGTCTATTCACTAAATTCACGCATGGTTAAGGGAGAATGTGATGCTGCTATAGCACAGGCTTTGAGCTGCTAATTGTCTCTGAGCCTGCGAACTCCCTACACCTGTCAAGCATTAACATAATAGTAATCAGATATGCGGATGAACAATATTACGTCAGTTCGTAGTCGCTGAGGGATGCTCTAGTTTAGTCACCAGTTCTTGTATAAAAAGCAAAAGCGCGCCTGATTGACTTCGAAAGCGGCTTGAAAACGGTATTTTTTGCTACATTCAGCATCAGGTTTCCCCATATTTTTCCATTCTAAATATTTTTCAGAAAAATTTTCTTTGTAATTTTTTCCCTTTCGAGACACCTATCCCTGACAATGAAGGTCCAAAAAACCAAGGTCCATCCCGATCCATTTCTTCGCCCTATCGACGCTAACCCTTCTCGATTTTATCCGCAGTCGGACGTCTCTCCGGTGCTGCACTGAAACAGTGATGGCTGACGCTGTTTCCGAAGAGGCAAGGCTAGATACCGAAGAAAGGTCTCGTGGACGGAAAGCCGGATACTTCAGGAAAGGTACCCCTGCGTTTCTACGCATTCCAAAGGCACAGTAGCATCTAATGGAGAACCCCCGATGGCGGGATTGAGGACTAAAAAAAAGATTCGGTTTCGATCAACCGCCATGATCCCTCCCCGGTCTCCAACATAAAAAATGCATGTTTCCCAGGTGTGTGATTAGGGTCCCTCCGACCTGCAGAAGAGGCAAGAAAAGAGAAGCACTTAGGGCCTTTACCCCTTTATCTTTCCTTGCCCCTTTTTTCCTTGGCATTTCCTGCCAAGAAAGGGAAAAGATCCATTCTGACGAAGGAGATGGGACTCGATCGCTCTCCCCTTCGTGTTTTTTTTTTTTCTTGGGGGGGGGGGGGGGAAAGGGAATGGGGTAGATTCCATTTATTCCCCCCCCCCATTTGAGAAATCCTGGTTATGCCACTGTCTACGACTGCAAAATCTAAAGATGAAGTTATCTTCACGATTGATCGGTTTGAGACACAGTGGGCAGACATACAAGGTGGTGACGATGAAACTACAGACTTCCTTCTGACAAACGTACTTCCCGAGGTCCATTCAGACTCCGGCACCAGCCCTGGTTGCCACCATTGCGCCTCAGGAGTGATTCTCTTGGTGCCATCCATCGTCACTTTTAATTCCATCGTGTTTCCCCTGACCTGGTCCGACGTCATCGCTGCCCTTGTCCCAGTGGGGAATAAGCATGAACAGAGAAATGCCGGACTGGAGGTTTGTCGAAAGGCGAACCTGAACAATGCCGAACGGGAATAACACCGAATCGAAATAAAATTTTCATTCCGCTCCCTTGACAACCATTCCATGTGGCATCTGTAGAAAAGGGACTGAGCTGTGAATTTAGAGCGAGAGATGGAGCGTGACACCAGGTAAACATGGTGTTAGCTTGCATCTCATGACTCGTCGTTTGCCAACTGGCTCGCATGCGCGAACGAGTGCTGCTCCCCTTCATCTACGATCGCAGTCCTCTTTCCAACATTTATGTACGAATGGAATGCGAACAAGCTATCTGGTCGAGAGTTGGAGATGAGAAGAGGAAGGAGAGACAAGGACTTCCCGCTTTTTTTCTTTTGCTGATCTCTGATATATTCGTAACTCTTAGCGACGGCGTCTTCTGCCGCATCATTGCATACGTCCACTTCGCGTCCACAAGGTCCGAATCGACAAGTGGTCCAGGGTGTCGTTTTGGGCTGGAGCGTCTCGAAGTCAGGGCATGGGATCGAGGTGACGTCCCCCAACATCCAACATCGGGCTGTGTGCCTATTGTTCTTTCGAGGGAATCAGTTCTATTTTTATTTAACCTTTGACAGACGAATGATTTATATATGGGACATGCTACGTTAATAATGGAATGTTGGACGAGTCATGAGTGCATCGCAATCTTCCTTGAATACGCCCCCCCTGATTTGCTTCAACTGCCATGCAGCAGGACGGGAACATTTTTCCCTGATTCCGAAATCATATTTTTTTCCTTGCCAGCCCCACTCGGTCATCATCGTGTCGCTCCAATTGAGAGGGAACGCGACCCACTAGTGACATAAAGAGGCTCCGCACCCCCCACCCAGTTCTTCACTCCCCCTAGAGACTCCTGGCCTGACAACGCCACCTGGTGGCTGGCCGCGGACCAACTCAATCTTCTGACCCCTCTGGCCTCCTACAGCAACTCGCATGCTCCTATCATCACCTGGACCAATTCAACAATTTCTCTTTACTCTTCTATGTATATACCACCTCACCTCACTCTACCCTTTTGTAAAGGGAATGTCATATCAATAAAGGTCATTGAAAAAAAAAACCCGCCCAGTTCAGTCGAGCATCTGGCGCCTTAGAGGATGGACTCCACTTGGGAGGTCCGATGCCTCGACTTCTCCTCCTGGAACTCCAGAAGGGAGGAAGGCTCCTGACTCCTGGGACTCCTCTGGTCTCTGTCCCTGGCCGGTCTCATTGTTCTCTTTGAGGCCAATCTTCCCGAACCGTGATAAGTGAGCTGGGATCGTGCGTTTCTCCTGTTGTGTTTGTCGTCCAAGCATGTTCGTGCCTGAAGACTGAAGAATACCAAATTTTTTTCATTCATGAGTTCTCAGTCTATTCATTTCCTGAACCTCTTTATTGTCAGTACTGCACTATACTTTCGTAAGCCAACATTTCTTGCCTTTTCTTGAAAAAAAAGGCTCTGTCTGAGAAAAAGGAATTCGAAAGGAAAAGAAAATGCGACAAAACTTCGGTCCTCAAACAGACCAAGGCTGAGATTCAGCATTACAATGTTTGTACATTAGGGCAGTTCCGTACGACAATTTTTTCCCCCGTACGTTGTTGGAGATCTCGGAAGAATTACTCTCCCCATGCATTTGGTATTATGCCAATCCAATCAAGCTATACTTCGGCGATGAAGTATACTTGATATCTTCAAAATATACAGGGTGGGCCAAAAAAAGCTATCATTTTTGGTAAGTTGTCAATCTGAATACATGCGGCCGATTTTGATGACATTTGGTATACACGTAGGGTGACTCAAGGGTGACTCAGGGTTTGTGTGCCAAGTTTCAAATAAAAATTCCAAAAACTGAGATTGGCATATAATTTACTTTTCATCACCAAAAAAGTAAGAGTTCATTTTTTCTTTCAGCTTAAAAATTCTCACAACTGACAAAAACAAACAAGCAAAGAAACAGAACAAAAACAGATGCACAAATGCTTAACACAAAAGCGTATAATTTGGTTTAGGGACGTACATTTCAACTGAAAAGGTGCTCGATGTGCCCTCCATTATGTTGAACGCAAGTCTGGGACACCGCAGAACAATGGCTCGGTGAATAAACCTTTGAGGCAGTGCCTCCCAACCTTCCTTCGTAGCATTATGCAGGGATGGAAGGTCTATGAATTGGACCTCCCTTTCATCCTGGTCTCAAGGTTGTATCGATCTTTTCGACTGCACATATTGTCGTTGGTTATCAGAAAATAATTACAACTCCTATAATTTTAAAGACATGGCTGAAATTTGGTATACAAACTCCAATTGTGTCACCTTATAAGCCAACCAATTTTAATAAAAATCGGCAACCTACAAAGAGATTGATGACTCACCAAAATTGATAGCTTTGTGTTTTTTTTTGGCCCACCTTGTTTATACCGGATGGCCCAGTCAAAACCACGCCATTTCACTACCATCGAGACATCGGACAGAGGCTTGTGGACTCATTTCCAGCCATATCACCACAGACTTGTTATATTTTCTTCATGGCTATAGAATTTCATTTGGCTGCTTTACAACTTTCACACACGACCAAGGACCTCAACGTCTTCCAATTGGAAATTTCCTGGTTGCAATGCAGCTTTTTTGTGAGGGAAAGTGGGGACATGGTCAGTTCATAGCACCGTCAGCATGATTCAGTCATAGCCGTGAACAGAGTTTGACACGAAAGATAAAGCATGATTAAACGCGATCTTCTAGCATCTCAAAGTTGAGGCGCTTAAAAACTCGCTTGGGTATGAGACTAGCCCATTGGCTGCGCTTTTGGCCATAGAGAGGGCAGAACGAGAAGAAATGTTTGTTTGAGGGAAGAGAATTTTTCCCTAGTCCATTGATGTGAAAAGAGTGAATTTCGCAGCTGCAGGAAAAATGAAACTGCCTAAATCACTGCCATGTATGCGCATGAAGCGGGAATCGATTCATTCCGAACACCTTACTGAATTCTTGATCCCTGCTGACTGGGATGTGAGAAAATGTAATTTTGTTAATGGTATGGCCTAATTACAGAAAGATGTAGAGAACACACCTCACGTTCATCGAGGGGATACGGGGCATATTCCATCGAGAGACAAAACAGATCAGACGAGACAACAACACTCCACGAGTAGGTAAGGGACCCTCTCGAGTCCGGAGCTGCAGCACTGCACAGCGACAGAGAAACT